TCCCTGTTGGAGTAACCAGAGTGAGTGACACACACCGCACCTGCGGACTCCTGAGCCGATAAAAACGGCTAAATGTGCGCGTGCGGCATGCTAAACACACGTGCAGCGTGCCCCTGATTGCTGTGAGACCGGGTTGGGGGTGGGGGTGCAGCTGTGGTTGGGACAATTATTACATTAACTGATGGACTTGTAAATAAATAGTTTATAAATAAGGTAGAAATAAGTTCCTCACGCTGATAAATAATAACTAATCTCTCTGAGGACATGGTGCTAGTGCACTCTCCTACAGCACCTTGACACGACTCAATAAATGTTATGCAACATTTAGTGAACATCAATTTGCATGTATTTGTTATAAATGCCACTGTATAATTCTTGCTGTCAGTATTTGCAAGATATTGGTATTTGGGTCTGTACTGGTTAGACTTAAATGAGTTAAACCAAGGTCTATAGCCCTTGGGTCATAAACTAGGAGCTATAAGTGTATTGGTCTTTTTATACTGGGAATCAGGAGTTATTTTAGTGATCATCTTGTTTCTTGTTTATTTTTGCCCTGATTGTGCCCTGAGCAGTTTTATGACTGAATAAAAACAACAAAAAATCTACATAAATTGAAAAATCATCTTAAATAATCGAGATCTCAATTTCAGTCACAATAATCGTGATTATTGTTTTCGCCATAATCGAGCAGCCCTACTTTAGCATATCCGGTCACATAATGATGACGTCATATTCAGTGGTCGTTGTGCATCATTTCAGGCCTCGTGGTCAACTGTCTGAACCGCTGAACAGAAGTGCCTGGCTTATTTTCTAAGTAAAATAAATATGTGCAATACGTTGTCAACATCAGTGAGTCTCTAAGTCTATTCTTTTTGTATGTTATATATGTTAAAATATGTGTAAATAGGTCGCTGATTAACCCTTTTTAATTTAGTGTTGTGATGGTTTTAAAAAAATTCTGAAGGTAGTAAAAAAAAGTATTAAAAAGTAGTAAATTTTACTTAAGGATTGCTGTATATACCCTGGGGTGGAAAACTTCGGTCTCCCGAGAGCTCCACAAGTCGATAGTTGGAACCCAGCTCCACCAACATGTTATATTTCAACCCATTTTCTAAAGTGCAGCATTATGTTAAATGCACTGGGTTTTACCCTATTACATTTAAATTTCATGGTTAAACAGTACATGTTAAAATCTAAGCTCAGCTCAGCAGTGACCTAAAATACATAAATATAATTTTACTTACCGAAAAAAATGAAGTGGAGACTATTAGTGCAATTAATGCCACAACAAGTCATTTTGCCCAACAATTGCACAAATAATATCCAAAAAGAACGCACAAACGCTACAACTAATGGTCTAAGTTGAGAGACTGAAAATGACCGAACAGTTTTCAGGCGAGCCCGAGGCTCAGACTGAGGCCTTTCCACGGAGCTAGCTCTGTGGTCACGTGGGTCTGATGCTCATTAATTATACAGAATTTTAGGCTTTTAATACACTTAAACAGAAGAGTGAGAAAAAAATTCACCCCCCTCAGAGTTGTCATGAGTGTAAACTAGATCATTTAAACCAAAAACATGTTTTGGTACCAGGCTGTAAACATGTTTATTTCTGCTGTGAAATTGGTATTTTTAACATGGGAGTCAATGAGGATTTGCTCGCTTCTGACACCAGCGCCTAGTGGATGAGGGTGGAACTGCAATTTATTTCATTTCCGGGTTTGCTTCAATTTTTCACCCGCATTGTGGGGGCCTGGTTGTCCCCCCTCATAAAAAAGGAACAACTAAAACATTTTAGGTTGCTAACATCAAATTTCTTCTGTCATGCTTTAAATTTTAAACATTTTATGTACAAAATGACAACTAATTATATTTAAGTTAGTAATAGGAAAAGTGCCATCTTTATTTTTTCTCGAAAAGCAGCTGAATCTCATTCTTCCTAAGTGTGATGCTGAGATGTGTGTATTAGTTAATAATTTCTTTATTTATTTGTCTGTATATTGCAGTTATGTTGATAAAACATTTATAAAGATCTTCAGATAAGAAAAGCAAGCCTCAGATGAAAGATTCTTGTTTTTGTTTCATTCGTTTATCTCTACACCGGGCAAATTTCTACTACACAATATGTGCCGATAAACAAAATATCCCAAAAGCTGTACCCACGTCTGTCATATTTTGACATTTTGAGAGAGAGGAGAAGTAGCTGAAGAGTTTGATGTGTATTGTATGTTAAAGATGTGTCATAAAAGACTGAAAACTGATACAGATATTATAAATATAAAATTTTATTTCCGATATAGGCTGATATTAATGGTAGATCATAATAATGGACATTCCTAATATTAGGTATTTGTAAAATAAAAGAGCTATATGTGTGTAGGTTACCAGTGTTGGTGTTCTTTTAAGATACTGCACTATATACTGGATGTAGTAAAGTCACGTGAATTTGTGAGGTCATGTGACACCACAACATCCAGTTTAAAACAAAAACACCAGCAGTGAGAAAACTGAGGATGGTTTAAATGTTCAAGCAGTGGATGGGGGCAGCGGTTGGTGACCAGTGGAAGCCAGCGGCAGCAACCAAATCCAGGGTGTCGTCAAACAAGTGTTGAATGATTTTTGTGGGTACAGACTTCTCCTTGACCAAGTCTACCACCGCCACCACTACCTCTAGCTGCCGATGTACGAGTCCATCCATCCATTTTCATCCGCTTATCCAGAGTGGGGTCGCGGGGGCAGTAGCCTAAGGCGAGAGGCCCAGACTTCCCTCTCCCCAGCCTCTTGGGGAATCCCAAGGCATTCCCTGGCCAGGTGAGAAACATAGTTCCTCCACCGTGTCCTGGGTCTACCTTTAGGTCTCCTCCCGGTAGGACGTGCACGGAAAACCTAATCCGGGAAGGCGTCCAGGTGGCATCCTGACCAAATGCCCGAGCCACCTCAACTGGCTCCTCTTGATGTGGAGGAGCAACAGGTCTACTCCGAGCCCCTCCCGAATGACCAAGCTTCTCACCCTATCTCTAAGGGAGAGCCCAGCCACTCTTTGAAGAAAACTCATTTTGGCCGCTTGCATCCACGATCTCGTTAAAGCTCATGACCATAGGTGGGGGTAGGAACGTAGATCGACTGGTAAATCGAGAGCTTCGCCTTCTGACTCAGCTCTCTCTTCACCACGACAGACCGGTACAATGCCCGCATCACTGCAGATGCAGCGTCAATCCGCCTATCGATCTCACGCTCCAGTTTTCCCTCACTTGTGAACAAGACCCTGAGAAACTTAAACTCCTCCACTTGGGGCAGGACCTCATCCCTGACCTGGAGAAGGTATTCTAGTCCTTTTCCGAATCAAGACCATGGTCTCAGATTTAGAGGAGCTGATTCTCATCCCACCTGCTTCACACTCGGCTGCGAACCGCTCCAGCGAAAGCTGAAGATCACGTTCTGATGAAGCCAACAGGACCACATCATCTGCTAAAAGCAGAGACCTGATCCTCAGGCCACCAAAATGGATGCCCGCCACACCTTGGCTGCGCTTAGAAATCCTGTCCATAAAGGTTATGAACAGAATTGGTGACAAAGGGCAGCCTTGGCGGAGTCCAACTCTCACTGGAACGAGCCCGACTTACTGCCGGCAATGCAGGCCAAGCTCTGACACCGGTCATACAGGGATCTAACAGCCCACATCAGAGGGCCTGGTACCCCATACTCCCAGAGTATCCCCCACAGGGCCCCCCGAGGGATGCGGTCAAACGCCTTCTCCAAATCCACGAAACACATTTAGACTGGTTGGGAAAATTACGACGCACCCTCCAGGATCCCCCTAAGGGTATAGAGCTGGTCCAATGTTCCAGTTGGAGCGAGTGAACTTGAAGTGGACAACAATTATTGTAGCACTGTAGCATTGGTATATGTTATTGTAGCTGTTTTTAGTAGTCATGGAGCTCTTAGTTGGACTTTTGAATGTTTTACTGTTTTTCTTATTGAAGCTGTCTTTAGAGGTGCTGATATTGTTTTAGCACTGTACTAATGGAAGCTGTCATAATCTTGTCATGCATTGTATGATGACAATAAAGGATTTGAATAAATTCAGTAATTCAATAGTCACGAATGTTTGACACATTTTCAAGAAGAAATAACTTTCATGTTAATTTGTCTTAAGGTTTTAGTAAAATTGAGAAGAATACAATGCAGATGTCACTCAACAATCAAACCATTCGATTCAATCCCGTTTACTGGATATTATGTAAAGAAAGCTAAATAATTTCAAAACTCCACTCTGGGCATCCCCAATGAAATCAGTCCAATCTTTTTTGTCAATACAACAAACGCATAACGAAAACAGGTCTGCTTGACCAGACAAAACCCTCATGGTCACAGTCCAGTAATACTAAGCACTACTAATACCTACTTTGCTCTCACTACTGACCTGCCAGTCAGTGAGCAGTGGTTGACAGCCATTCCACCCATCAGTTATAAGAGGTAAATCCAAGGAGAAGGCTTCAATCTGTGGAATTATACACTCTCAGATTGAAGAGACAATCCTGTTGGCGCAAGTTCTGTACAACAATTTAAGCTTTATTCAGTAGGACACTTACCAAAGATGAGGAGAAAGGCAGAGTTGGAGTCAGATGTGTACATGCACTCATCATGGATATTAATGTATAAATATCTAATTTGGGCAATTGATGACTGATATGAGCCATTTTTCCAGGGTGGATTGATAACAATAAATTACCTGCACTTGTACAACACCTGCCTGCGTCAGAGGACTAAAGCACTTTACGCTACAGTCAGTCATTCACACACACCATGGTGACGAACTAAATCATAGCCAAAGCTGCCCTGGAGCACACTAACAGGCAGTATGAACAGTCATTTCCTCTGCAAGACAACTGGAGAAATATTAAGATGCTAAACAAGTTTAGCCACAGCAACCCATCTCAATGCTTCCCAAACTGTCCCTTCGATAAATTCTTAGGATTCTTCCTCTTCTCTTTGTTGTCCAGGTCTCCTTCCATCTCTGGCTTCCTGGATGATTATGCCTTCATTATCTGTGGCTTGCTGGACCTCTATGAGGCCACGTTTCAAACAGAGTGGTTGCAATGGGCTGAGGAGCTGCAGCTCAGGCAGGACTTGTTGTTTTGGGATGACCAGGGTGGAGGCTACTTCTGCAGTGATCCCAGTGACAGCACCATTCTGCTGCAGCTGAAAGAAGGTGAGGATTAGATATTTTCACATGCACCTACACATAGTTACATATTTGACCTCTGTGTAAAAATAAGTTTGAGAGTTTATTTCAAACAAAGAGAACGATTCCCAAATAACCATTACCCAGTAACTCAATCTAGTTTGCAGTATAATTAGCATTTCAATAACACCTGAAGAAACCGGATGAGTGGGAGAACACGTTTTATCCCCAAAATACGATTTACAACACATGAACATCATCTCAAAGTCTTTATTCTATAAAATAGACTAATAATAAAAAATTCAAGCTTAGATCTGACACAAGACCTGAGAGTTGGTCATGTTCGGTGGCTCTCAAACTTTCCAGCTCTTGACCCAAAACACAACCATAGCAAAGATTATTGACCCCTAATGTAATTGGTTAAAGACACAAACACAACTTAAAAGCTGAGTTAATGCAGGGATACTAACAAAACAACAGTTTCTTCTCATCAAACTAAATCTATCAGTGACCTTTGGCTTTTATATCACTTAGATTGAGTTAGCATTTATTTCTCGGGGGTATTTGATTTCTGGAACTCAAGACCTCTAGCTTTACCCCTATTTCACACTGGATTCATCGGCAACATGGAACGGCAGTGGAACGTCACTGCTTCAAATAGAATCTATTATAGTCTATGGGGGTGACTCGAACCAGCCGCGATGCAGACATTTTCAGACGCGTCCCTGTAGCTTCGGGTTCTATTTTTGCAGCGAGCCGCTTCATGTAAACGTCTGCAGTCAACACAGGGCTAGACAGGAAATCACACATAGTTTCAGTGTAAATTTTTCTGTATTTTTCAAAATAAAGGTACTTCAGCGATGCAATTTCATATATACTGTGTGTAGCTTATATTTCATCTAACAGCTTATTTACTCCCAGCATCATTCTAGAATTGCAGTGGTGTGTTTTTAATGGCTTTGACTTTGGTTGATTGGCAGATTGCATAAATGAACCGTGACCTTTGAAGTCTCAACAATTTTTGTGATCTTGTGAGTCCAGTGAGGAGCACAGCAAGGAAGCTGTTTTGTTGCCAGGACTCTCCCAGAGTGGACTGACCACATTGAAGCTCACGAGTAAACCGTTTCACTGCCATTCCGAGCTGCAGAAATAGGGGTTAGTGTGTCACAACCCAAAGTGGAGTCCAGATCCCAATGTTGGGAACCACTTTAGTTGGCCCTATACTGTATACTTCTGTTGTAGAAATTACTTATTTGACCAGTGACTTCAGCAAATCTTTCAACAAAGTAAAACAAGCAATAAAGAATTTCAACTAATTGTACATTTTATAACAAAGAGATCTGATGAAAGCTTTTTATGAGGTCCGTCCCATGATTTATGAGGCTTTTTGCATCAGTTTTGAATCTGTTTAGTGACTTAAAAAATACACTAATAAAAATGGTCTGGGACTGGACTGAAAATGAATTTAAAAAAAGAAAACTAACATGTAAGGAAGTCTTCTTCCTTCTTTTTTTTTTGGTTGTCATATTTAAGGAGTCATCAACTGAAATGTTCACTTTTCCACTTGAAATAATATAATATATAATGTATATTATTGTCACGGTGTAGGACAATTATGGCTTCCTAATGATGTTTCACTGGCTGGAAAGTCAATGTTTAACATTGGATCGTTTTTTTTTTTTTACTCTAGGCTTCTTCAACCAGCCCACGTGCACCCCACGAGCACGTGCACTCCAAAATGATATCTTGAGTTCTGGCCTTAGTGTTGTCACAAAGGCAGGATGTAAAGTACCATAAATGAACAGCGCAGAGCAACGACCCTATAGCCTGCACTGCTCCACTTCCAGAAAAGATGTTTCAGCTTTCATTTTGGAACTAGTTGTCTTTGAAAATATAGTAATTATAGTCAATATTTTGAAGTATCAATATTTTATCAGACTGAAGCCTAATTTATGCTTCTCCGTCTGTATCGGGACGGAGACGCGCAACACCATTATCCGTCCTTGCAAGACTGCTGGAGAGCCCTCGCAAGGAACGGACGGGGTCGAGCTCTCTTTTCTAAACAAAAGCAAAAACATAAAGAGAGCCGAGGATAACTAGCGGCAGACACGGAGAAGCTTGAAGAATACCTCACGGAAAAACTCTAAAAATATCAACGCTTTATTCACTCATGACTTGAGGAGTGAAAAGATGCGCAGCAAGCGTTTCACTCGTGGACGAAAATGACAGGAAACATGGGTTTAGAGTTGGCGAGCGTGTGAAGAGGTGGAGGAGAATGAGGGACAAAGTTGCCCCTGTTAAAAAGTCTCTTATACAAAAAACACAATACAAACACACTATCTTGGACCGGATACATGACAGGATACTACAGAACAGCGCTACGCCCTCTGCTGTCCTGGCGGGGAATTGCTTGGCAACACTCCCCAGGAGATGGAGGAGTCTGGCAGCAAAACATCTCTGTCCGTACATGTGTGTCTCTTCCTCGTGGAGCTGATGAAGAAGTAAAAATTAGGCATAACGTTGTTTCAGCTGTCATCAAGCATCCAAATGCATTTTCAGTGACAGAAATATTTCCAATGAAAATGTGTCAAAGGGATAGCTCAACTAACAAGGTACCTCACTTACACGCGGAGGACCCGGGTTTGAATCCTGGCTGGGATATCAGGTGGTTATTTGGAGTTTTTGTCCATTATACTTTTTCACAGTAATAAGACGCCCACATTTGTTTTATAAACGCCCAAGTTGAGACACACCGAAAGACATTGAATTCACAGCCAGAGAAGACGTCGGTTCAAATTTCATTTTGGAACTATTTTTCAACCATGACGGGACGCATCATTTGGAATCGTTGTATGTCCAAGGAAGGTCCTGTCTTTCACGCCGCGCTACAGTGGTGCCTCCAAGGGGTTACCAGGGGTGGACATGGCCACCCCTGAAAAATTGCTGGCCCCCCAGCAAAAGCCAGTGTTAAATCATATTAATGTTCACTCAAACTATAAATTGATCTTATTTATTCAAGACATAATTGTAAAACTAAATAAAAATAATACAATTAATACGTGAAGAAATAATCAGAATAAAAATGTGTATATATGTTTCTGCTGCTCTCCGTTTAAAAAAATGTTTACCTCCATAGTATTTGTGCACACTGCAACAGATGAATTAAAATAAAAAAAATAAATTTTAAAATAAAATTTGAAATAACATTTTAAATAAATGAAATGTTGACATGGTTTGGGGAATACGTCTAACCCAAGACATGCAGAATCACAACAACTCACAGAACAATTGTAAAAAAATAAAAACAATATTTATTGTAAACGGGAACAGAAGGTGCACCGGTAAGTCCAGTGGAGATCTAGAAACGGGAGCGCAGCGTCTGAGGAGGGGAGAGCAGATACAGGTGAGTCCAGGGATGTAAGTCTTAACTTGGTTGGTGCAGAGAAAATACTTGGAGTTGGGAAATCACAGGAATGAGGGAGGGCAGGTGAGAGCCGGGGTGTATCCAATTGAGAGGATCCAGTAGAGGGAGTGTGAGGAGGGCAGGAGAGCGGGTCGGTTAGGAGGAATGCAGAACGGTTCAGAGCTGCGTCCAGAAGTCCTATGGGGGCAAGGGTGAGTAATCCTGAGGAGTCGCTGAATCCAGAGACGTTCCAAAAACCTGGAGGCAGGTAATCAGAAAAGGTCCAAAAATTTACAGAAGTCCAAGAAACACGAGAGTACAACATCCAAGTAACACTAGGAGGGCAGGAAACTACCAAGCTGTAGCCGGGCCCGGCGCTGATTGCAAACCAGGTGCAGCTGGGAACCTCCCTCTCCTGCAACACACAGCTCAAAGGTGGAATACTGAGAGGAGTACTCACCCGGCTCATGACATATGTATGTTTCTGAAATGTTTGTCTTTTCAAAATTTAAGCTAAATGGTTTGGATACGTAGTATTTTTTTTATTAAAACCATTAAAGGAGCAATGCATTACATCACCACAGGCTGAACTCTCCCAGAGTAACCACAAGGACCAATTTGGTGTGCCACCCCAAAAATGTCTTTGGCCCCATCTGGCCACCCCTATTAAAATTTTCTGGAGGTGCCCCAGCTGCGCTAACTTCACAGTTACATTACAAAGCTCCCCAAAACAGCTTTCTGTTGGTGGCGATGGCAGGAGAACAGTCAACACTTAGCAAGGGAAAATGCCGGTTTGCTGCTAAATCAAATAATCAATCGTAGTAGAGCCCTTTTAGCCAATCAGAGGCGAGAAAGACGGGATCTTCCTTGGACATCGTACGGTATTGCATCCGGATAAGCCGAAATATTGCATGTGCTCTCGTGAGAAAACATGTCCTTTACAAAAAAGGGTCAGAAAAGCACCTTTTTATTTATTTTTCCAAAAAAAATGATTTTTTTATAGCCTAAAAGACTGTAATATGATGTTACTTTCCACAGTAGTAACAGGTGATGACTCCTTTAAGAGGAAAACAACTGAAAACCATTAAATAGGATAGCGAGATCACAAACCACCAATTATTTTTTGGCTGTTTCATTAAAATTTGTCCATTTGTTCATGACTTATAGAGCTGACAGACAGATTTAACTGTTACGGTTTCCATTGACTCCTTGAGTCTAACCACATATGCAAAAACTTGGGGGATTTGTGCGTGTGTGTGTGTGTGTGTGTGTGTGTGTGTACGTGTGTGTGTGTGTGTGTGTGTGTGTGTGTGTGTGTGTGTGTGTGTGTGTGCGTGTGTGTGTGTGTGTGTGTGTGTGTGTGTGTGTGTGTGTGTGTGTGTGTGTGTGTGTGTGTGCGTGTGTGTAAGGTAGAGCTGGCATAGCAGAAAACGCTGCTCCAACCCACAACAGTACTGTTCTTTATTACACCAGTGTGATCTGAGCGTCTTGGGGAAGTAACTTGAAAGCTGCTAGATGGCTAGTAGCTTCATAAATGCAGGGATTGGTTGACGTGAGGAATTAAAAGCACTAGCGGAATACCTCTGTGGTTTGGGTGAGTTTAAGTTGACTGATGAATAAATAT